GATTTTAATTTTAAATTATTGAAGTATTTATAAATATAATTCAATAATAAACAATTTAAGATGGTATAGTTAGACTAAGATCAAAATGCAATATTACTAATAAACTACTATCTTAAATTTAAGATTTGAAAAGGCACTTTTTCACTGTATGCTCTTAACCCTAAGTAGATCACTTAGTTTCATATTTTTCCAAATAATATATATTGATTTGTTTTATACTGACTTCAAAATAAATTCTCTCTTAATATTTCGATATAGAGGGGATTATTTCATGAAAAAAGAAATGAGTTCAATGAAGCAAAACAATGCTATCAAAATGCTGTGACAGTTCATCCATCTCATTTGAAAAGCTTACAACATTTGGTAATTACATCAATGTTCATTCTACATTCAGATTGTTTATCACAGTAATTTTGTTACTCAGGGCTTAATGTACCATTATTTGGGTAGCCACAGATTGGCTGAAAAGACATTGAGAGACGCAGCAAAAATAAATCCTTATGCTCCGGAAACATGGTTTGTTAAAAATTTACAAAAACTTAATATAATGTTCTATGTTAATTGCCGTCAAATTGAACATTACAGGTATAATTTGGGAAAAGTCTTAGAGAGTTTAGGAGAGACTGACAGTGCCACGGACAGTATGGCCACTGCTCTGCAAGTAGAGATGGTCAGTCCAATTATGCAATATACAAGCATTCCTTTGCCATTTGATTAAGACTATTGGTTATTTTAATTCTTATTATCTGTATGGTTTACTTAGTAGACAAAAATTTAAAAAAAAAAGGAAGGGGTTACTGTTACCATATTCTAATATATATTAAACAAGTTGACATGCTTGTTAGTTGGCAGTATTAAATTATTTTAGTTTAAATTTTACTTATTATGTCATGTTAGATATTTGTTATGTCTTTGATCAAATATTTGTTGTTTATTAATGAATGTAGTTATTTTGTTTAATTGTCAATAAACAAAAACCATCATTGAATGATTGTCTTATACTTTTATCACTTTAGTGCGACAAATCAAATAAAAATTAAGCACTTGTTATTTTGAAAATGGAATTATAAATAATAAAATATATAGGTAATGATTACATTATATATAATAAACAAAATTATATATTTAATTAATCAGGCAAATTTAATGCAAGGTCCCTTGTAGCTCTTTCTTTTTTTTTTTTGACACCGATCGACAGGGGCGGAATGTTTGCTTGCGCGTCACACTACTTACCCCTGCCAAACATCCGGGCATCGTTTATTGAAGAAAACATCTGTAACATAGCATGAGAAGCAGTGGGCAAATCCCCCACTTGCTATCTCTTACAGTTAATATACGCTATATACATACATGGGGCTCTATCCCCATAATTATTGCTCTTCGAGCCACAACAAAAAGTTCGTAACTAAACAAGACTTATTGATAAATTTTTATTCTGGTATCGCTCCAGCTTGGATTTTTCGTTTGTCCGCTTCTTTCCTCTTCATGACCGCTGTAATGAATCCGACCACTGCGTCCCACTTTGACTTGGATTGTAACATGGCTTTAACCATCCCTTCTGACGTGATATCCATATTGAGCTCCACTTCTAAATTATGCCGATCTCTCCACCACCTGTCGCATACCACAAACGTGTGCTCTGCGTCATCATTTGGGCAGTCACAATACATACACACCGCATCGTTACTCTTCTAGAATCTCGCTAAATATGCATTGAAGCATCTGTGGTCAGTCAAAAATTGTGTTACGTGGAAATTAATTTGCCCACGCTTCCTGTTTTTCCACCTTGCGATTGTCGGAATCAGTCTGAATGTACAACGCCCAGACTGATCAGCCGCATCCCACTCTTTTTGCCATGTACTGAGTGTCATCCTTCTTGACTCTTATTTAGCTGCTTCTATATCGCCGCCGTTTCTCCGCATTTGTTCCACTTCAGCTTTTTCTCTAGCGAGCAAGTGGATTGGGATGATCCCAGTTACAACCATTATGGCAGTGTTGGAGACAGTGCTATAAGCACTCGCTACCCTCAGTGCCATTTTCCTCTGGGGAGAAAAGAGCTTCTTTTTATGGCATTCGTACATCAACGCGCTTTTCCAGATTGGCGCAGCGTAGAGTAGTTGCGAATGTACCACCGTGGTAAGCAGCTTCCTCTTTTCCGCAGCTGGTCCACCTACATTTGGCATTAAGCGAGCTAATGCTGCCGAAGTCTTTATAGCTTTGTCACTAACAGTCTCTATGTGTTTGCCAAACCCAAGTACTGAGCTGAGCTGTACCCCTAAGTACCTTATAAGTTATATTGTCAGCTAACCTGATTTCTGTACTGTCAATCTTGAATGAGGGCTTAGCATACCCTCGTTTTGTTGTCAGCATTATCACCTCTGCCTTGCTGCTCGACAAGGTTAAGCCTTGCCTCTTCATCCATGTAGGATGACAATTTTTAATGTATCATTCATAGCCTTTTCCAGGAGCCAGGTGGTATATCCCGTGGCTACTACAGCTGCATCATCTGCAAAGCAAACTATGTTAACACCATCTGGATATTCTAGTCGCATAAGTTTGTCATAAAAAATATTCCACAATATTGGTCCTATGACTGAACCCTGTGGGACGCCTGTGGTGACTGTAAGATGTCCGTCTTTAGTTAGGATGTTGCGACCATCAAAGTATTACCTTATTATAAGTTATAACAATCAAGTATGTGGGAAACATTTTTTTAATGAGCGCGGCTTCTATCTTTCTTATGAAGTCTAAAAAACACAATTTTTTATAGATATTTCAAGTTCAAATTTTTACAAAATTAGATATTTAAAAAGATCTTAGTTATTTTTTTAAACCTTAAAAATATTAAGTGAAAGAAAATCTCTAAGAATCGTTTTTTATACAATGATCCACACAATACCTGTTGTACAGCAAACTGAAACTATCACTAAGTCCACCACTTTTAATGAGGGTTTTAATTCAATCTTGAAGAAAAAGTATTCATATAACTACTATTAATTATTCTCCACAAACCTATATTACCTTAAGCATCTAAATAAAATTAATTTGTTTTAAAGAGTTGCAACAATTAATTTTAGTGATAAAGGCTGATGCTTATACCATGCAGGTGTAGATGATTAACAACTCATTGAGGTGCATGGTAAGAAAGATTTTATTTGAAGTGTAGATTTTTAGTTTACCAATAGATAGATGGTAGTTTTCATTATGATAATATAGCCTCGTTGTTTTTATCTAAGAAAACATTTAAGTATCAAGTCATATTTCTCATCACATTCTATAGGTTGGTTTATAATAAAATACCGCTAAAGCTCATTGTATATTTTGAAGCACTTTAAATTTTGATAATAATATTTTGTTTTTGTTTATTGAACCAGGTGGTGACTTAATTTAAGGATAATTGGAGTTTCCATATTGATCATTCCAGGACATTGTTTTCGGTAATTGTGTGAGGATTTATGGTTGTCAGATTGTCAGCAAACAATGCCAGAAGAGTTCAGAGATATTGTGATAGTTTAATATAATTAAGAGGGTTTATCTTAGGACTGATCCATAAATCTAACAGAAACTTTTATTTTAGATCTACAGAGCAAATCAATAACACACTTTGGTATTGCAATTTAGGGTGGGCTTGGATTATTTTTTTAGTCAAGTACATATTTACAAATCTTTTACGTAATCTGCTGATCTGATATTCAAAGAACATGAAGTTGATTGCTGATACTGTATAAAAATAGATTACTCCAGTGGTATATAAACAAAAATATTTAGTGAATGAACATCAACATTATTGCTGATATATAAAAAATTAATAAATCGCATCATATTTTGGATGCTTGTACGCTCTAATCAACTAATTCAAAAAAATTAGTTTTTGTTTTAAATAACTAAAAATCAGATAATTTTGTAATAATAATATACTCATATATTATACGATATATAATGAATAATAAATCATTTTATAAAATGACCTTTTCATTATGAAATAATACACAAATAGATTTAGTTTTAAAATAATTAAATAAGTGAGTTCTTCCTCAATAGTCTGGAAAACGCCCAATTGTTTTCCAATAGGATAAAGTCTACAAGTACGAGAATAATTTAATTAAACATTGTGTATCTTCTTGAAAATTGTTATTTGGAACAAATATTCGTAGCACTCAAGCCTGAAAATTCATTATAAAGAATAAGTAATTTGTATTCCTAGTACATCTTAATGTTAATACTCACTGTGTCTTTGCTGATTTCCAATTGATGCCCCAGACATACATTCCATGGTTGCGGACCAAAACTGCAGAAGTGCTGGGGTATTTTTTCAGAGCCATTTTAAAAGTGTCAACTAAATCTTTCTCGTACTTTGAATTCTCAATAATTGGTATGATAAGCTCTTCATCATTATCATAAAATTTTCCTGTTTTTTCATTGAAAATTCCCTAAGCAATATTTTACAAATTATTTAATCTAATAAAATACCATTTCATAAATTTTGTTTACTTTAATCATTTCTAAACCAGTAATCTTAACTTCATTTTCCGGATTTAACAAACATAATTTGACTACTTCTTTTGAATGTACATGTATCACAGCTCCTGCATTACGCTCTAAATTTTTCCATTTATTATATATAAAAAATAAACATTTCTAATTTTCTAAATTACCATTATAAGAACACATAAATATGGGAGTGCACTGGCTTTTTGATAGGTTTTTTTCAGCATTTGGAACCATAATATCCTCACCTTTCAGGTTTTGAACAAATAAATCATCGGGCTCAATTCTTTCTTTTTGAACACCAGATGGTGCAATAAAAATATGGTCACTAATACATCATAAAAAGTTATTAGTACAATTTCTTCAAATGTTATAAGTTATAACATATTTTTTTGCATATTTAGAGATTTTTATGAATAAATGCATATTTCGCCAAAAATAACTTAAATCCAATATAAACATCAATAAAAACATCAATAAAAACCCATAAGTTGGCACAGTCAGTTTCACATTTAACGAAAATGAGAAAATATGAAACTCATAGTATATAATTAACTTATCTTTATTACTTACTTAATTAAATATTAATTTACTGTAAGTACCTATGTTTTTAATTTCAAAATATCATATTTTTAWATATTTGTATTTAAGTTTAAAGTTATAAAAAAAGTTGTAAATTAATTTAAAATACATTTCGGATTAGAAATAAAATTTTAAAATGACATGTTTAATATTTTTTAAGGACATATTTTGATATTTATTGTGCATATTTGCATGCATTTTTTAGTGTTTTTAAGGCCATAAACATCCTAACCCTAGTTATAACGTTTTTTAAACTAAATGGTAACTATACTTAATAATGCATATTCAAATTAAATGTAATTGTAACATGTGATACAGAAATACCTAATAAGCATAATATTTTCAAATTATATTACTTTTTCATATTAACACAATTTAAAGAAAATTAAGATGTTAAACAAAAAAATATATGTACTTGTATTTAATGCTGATGCCACCACCTGTTCCAGTAACCCAGCCGTTGGCATAGAATTGTCGGCATAGCTCGGGAATTAAATKACGGGGGTGATCTTTTGAATCGTTATTCTGAAACATGAATTAACAATTTAAAAATTTAAAACATAAAACATATTTTACATTTTTTTTTACTATTTATTAGTCAAGATAAAAATTCAGTTGTTTACTAAATATAGAAAAATTATAAAACTTCATAAAATAGGCAAAACAACTATTGAGATTCTAACGTCTACGCAGTATAAAAACTAAATGTCTGACTTTAACTAGATTTTATTGAATACATTGATACTAACATTTTCTTCTTTGCTAGTATTATAGGACTCAATAATATTACAGTTTTATTACTTCTATAAAACTGATATATTAGGTAATACTTACACAAATTAATACTTTTGATAGAGCAACATCATCAGCAACAACAAGATCCATAATTAATTTAGAACAAGATGAATATATAAAGAATAAATAAAATCTAAATAAACGTGATTTTATTATATMATTTAAATAAGAAGGTATCTAAATGCAATAAATTCTTATTATGTTGGAAGTCAATATTTCAATTTTTTTTTTATCTCTAACTAAATTGCAATCACCACAACAATCAACTTGCACAACCCAATCATAATAAAATTCGATATCTCAAATCTTTTTCAGTTCCCCTTGAGATTTGACTTAAGGAGAGTGTATTATAATTAAGTGCCAATGTTATCTTATCAACTAAAGAATAATTAATTTTTAATATCGAGTTTATTATAGGTTACCTATCCAAAATACAATTGATAAATTCTCTGATAATTTTAACCTATAATTATGTAACTACTGATTAACATATTTGTTCATATTATTTTAAACTTTCAACTTACCAACAATGTCTGCTCATTGTGATTAGACTCAATTTGTTGATTACCATTAAAATTGTTCTCTAAGATAGCAGGTTGCTTGCTAGGAGTATTCTGTTCAGTGGTTGACTCAGCCTAAATAAATATACATTAATAAATGCCAAATTGAACAATTGTTCTAAAAATGAATATAAGAATTTAAAATAATATTGTATTATCAACTTAATAAGCCAGGCACATTATAAGAATAATAAAAATAAAAATATAATTTACAATATTATTTTACATTTATGTAATAATTAGTAAGATGCGGCAAAGGCAACAATTTTTATGTCATATTAACAGATTGTATTGTGTTGACAAATATTGATTTAAATTATTATTACCGTGGTTAGCTTTTTTTTAAAAAAAAAAACAATGAAATAGGCAAATATTTAAAATACATCATTAACCAAAAATAACTATAGATTTATTTTTATATATTACAAAAAGAGTGTCATCGGATAATATTTTTTTAATACCTATTTACGTTAGTTTAATATTATAAAATTATGTTCATTATTAAAATTTTGATTTTAGATTAAATTAACCTTTTTAAATGAAAATATTTCAATTATATGATCCTTAGATACTTCAGTAATAAATTAAATATGTATGTGTAAAAAATTAATACAATAAAATTGTTCTTTTTAATCAAAATGATTAAAACTCATAAATGTACACGCAACTATACAAATCTTCTACAATATATCTAATTAAATAAATTACATTATTTTACCTACCTTATTGATCAATGGTGAATTAGATGCTAAAAACTTGTTAGCAAAAAATGAACTTATACGCTGATCTCTGCAATATAATTTTAATATTACATCTCATTATACAAAAAAGTTTTTGTCTACAGAATTTTAAACAAAAAATATTTAATGATTGACAGTAGAAATACAATKTTGTACTACTTTTACTGATTTATCATTACAATTTAATTTCTTACTTATCCATTGCTGCTAAATATTCAGCTTCCTCCACAGCTTGATTCCATTTGATTTTCAATTTACCGCGAGAAATCTGAGTCTGAGAAAAAAAATAAAAATCATAAATAAATATATTTTAAAAATTAATAAACAGCTAGTTGCTCAATGTTTATTATAGTTTTTCACTCATATTTCTATTTCCAGACCTACATATTGGCTCACCTCCTTACACAAAAAAACATAACAGACATTGTAACATAACATAATAAACATTGTACCCAACATGTCTTGCATCCTACTCTGTGCAACTACCAATCTCTTAGAACTGTGCTCAGATCACTATGCGATTCTCCTGACCGTCAACACCTATCCTCCAATCTGCCTTTCCCTACCAAAACTCTTTCTCCCTTCAACAGATAATCATAAATATCACAACTTGATAGATCAGAACATAAATCTCAAAGTTAGTCTTAAATCCTCTCAGAAAATTTATGTAAACAGCCATAAATAATCTCACAAATGTAATTCATACTGTAGCGCGGGCTTCTGATCCTACAAAAATTCAGTATGCAAACGTCGAACTGATGGAGTTCCCGTACATATTCGCATCTTTATATCCAATAAGCGCAGGGCTAGAGTCCTCTACTAACGTTTACAAGCATATCTATGACCAAACTATTTAACTGGCTGAAAAAAATACTTGCTAAACAAAAAAAATCAATATTTTGTAAACCATCTATCTAACTTATCATCTAATAAGGGCAGTCTTTGGACAGCTTCTTAGACAAGCTTCCTAAAATACAATTCTCCACTCATTCCCATAACCTACCAATGTTGAAAAAGCTAAACTATTAAAAAATACCTAATTGTAACTTTCACCCCTCACCCAGATATACAAGTACCTTTACACACTGACATGGTAAATTATTATCTTAATATTCTCCTTCTTATCTCCCACCAACATTAAATTTATAATTCAAAAATACAGCCTGAAAAAATGATCAAGGTCTAATTTGGTAACTGAAGAAGTGGCTAGGTCTCTCCCCAAAACAGCTATTGTTCTACTCACCAACTATATATTATACATTTTTTTTTTTTTTTTTTAGACTATCATATTTCCCTAAGCTTTGGAAATTCTCTGTAACAATTTTAGTGCCAAAACCCAATTAACCAGCTTAAAGCAGTTAACAGTATCCATAAAAATGTAATGAGATACAAAGATGCAGGTAAACAAATTCTAAGATTTATCCGAAGCTAAGACAATAAATATAAAACATAATTTTTATGGGGAATTCCCCAAAATATATCACATGAATAATATGCATAAGAAATCTAATATTTATAAATAAAATCGAAATAGTATAATATACATAATACCATGAAGTTATAGTTTTTGTTAATACTGATTATWTTTTTATTTTGAAAACCAATTGTCCTAACTTCCACAAAATTAGCCATTTAATGGCTAAATCTATTTGTCCTAAATCATATTACACTAAGTATATTATCAAACACGGCTCTAATTAATCTCTAAATATTTCTATATCTAAGAAAGACCTCTGACACTCCACAAAATTGGTCTAGTTTAGAGTATATAAACTACAAACAAACAAACATTGCTTTTTGTTGAACATTAGAATAACAAACAATTTATTATTTTTTTTTTCAACAAATAAATATTTGTCTTATGTGAGCCAAACTAAATTCATGTGTGAGTTATCCTAAGGGGTTGAAACTCAAAGGTTAGGTTACATTCTTAGTGTCTTAATGTGGTGCTGATTAATTGAGTAATTTATAAATTTATAAACCCCATATAATTATATATATATATATATTCATTTTTATACATACAGATATAATCTAATCTAATAACACAAAACTATGAAATAATAATCCAACATTTTCTATTTTTATACAGAACAATTATCCATGATTGAAAATTTGTCGGGAACATATACTGCTGACACTGTCGCCGACAAATATTTATGTTACCGCTTATGACGGAAAATCAGAAACATTGTCGACGACATGTCAGAAACACTTGTTTTCCACAAATTTTTCTTTGGTCTGGACGAGGGGCTTTATGATCTCACCACAATCACAATTAAAATAATTTTATAAATACAAAAAGTGTTTCATTTTTTGGAACAAATGCACTTTACCACCCCCTTAAAAATGTTTAATTTTTTTTTGTAACATACTTATATTAACTATTTAAGAATGATGGTGCAATCAGAATTTGTCAGTCAAACTTAGTTTCGAAGTTATGGGATTTAGAAGTTGGCAATTTTGCATTTTTTACGCATGAGCGCAATGCTGCGTTTATCACGTCTTTTAATTTTTTTTCTTGAAACTTGCGTATATTAATGAGTTAAGAACGATGGTAGTTTTAGAATTCATTGGTTGGCCTTAGTTTCTAAATGATCAATTTTTGAAATTTTGTAATTTTTACGCAGTGAAGTTTGAGTCTGACAATTTTCAAGTAGAGTCACTCCCTACGCCTGCCGGCACCAGTCGCCAAATTCGAGGTCWTCTGGACCTCGAGTTGGATGGGGGCTCGTCCCTCAAACCCCCCGGGAATGGAAATAGCCAACTTTTTTTTTTTGGGGGGGGGAGGGCGACCCCTTCGAGGTCGCGGGAAGGAGAGCATTCCTGACCTACGGGAGACGGATAACCTAACAAGTGAACTTAACCTTGTTAGTTAGTAACATAAGTATATTTTAGTAGTTCTCTTCCGCTACCGKCTCCGTCCTACCTGGTGTATTCAGATAATCTCATTATAGTTAAAAGTACGTATTTTGTGTTCTAATATTTGTAAATCCAAAATTAACTTGATTGTGCTGTGCCCGAGCTTGGCTAACGCGATAGTAATTGACAACAATAATCAAGGCACTAGGGGCTAGGCGTATAAATAAGTTAATTAGATAAGTAGTTTTTACGTTACATATAATCATAACTAAAAATCTGACTGCAACATCGTTTTTCACTCATTAATATACGTAAGTTTCGAGAAAAAAAATCAAAAGAATTGTAAAAGACGTGAAAAACGCAGAGTTGCACTCATGCGTAAAAAACACAAAATTGCTAACTTCCAAAGCCAATAACTTCGGAACTATATCCGATCAACAAATTTTGATTGCACCATCGTTCTTAAATAGATAATATAAGTATGTTCCAAAAAAAAAAAAATCAAAAATTTTGCGGGGGGTGGTAAAGTGCATTTTAGCCTATATTTGATTAATTATAACTGCACCCGAAAAATACTAATGACATTTGAAATTGCAAATTTATTTGTATGCTAATTTTTCTAATAGTAAAATATTAATGATATCAAATTTTACTTACATTTATTTTGGGAATTTCGTTTAATATTTCTTCTTTACCAGAGAATTTTGTGATTTGTTTCAATTTAATCCAATTTCTTTTATAAGCATCATTACAATAATAAATATGCAACATGGGTATCATATTCTCATCTAAAATATAAAGATAATTAAAAATTAAAAATTAAATTAAATATTAAATCAAAACATACTTTTAGAAAACTTATTTGTTTCCGGGTCTGTGATTACGATTCCTGGCCATACTGGATACTTCCCTGTCTTAGCCCACACCATGTCACCAACGTTATATGAAGTCCTTTTGCCATTACTTATGTTATTAATTGCAGCTGTTGAAGAGGATTTTCCATTGCTTTTTTTGTTCAATATAAAATTTATTTTTCGGTAGGACTCACCCAGTGACAAGTCAAGCTCTTCATTAAATTTCCTTTTATTTGATACACGTCCGTATCGGCTCATTTTTTGATCTTCTACCCTTTTCATGATCTTTATCTAAAATAATATAGGTACATGAAAAACAATGGTATCAACTTTAAACATGATATAGTTTTAATTTATTGTCAATGTTTAATATTTTGAATGACTTTGATGATAATTATAGTTTAAGCATACAATAAATCTTAAATATTTAAAAAAATGTAATTTTTAACAAAAGAAAAAATATGTTYTGTTCTATCCCAGATTGTTAAGTCATTGAGAAATGTAATATCTTCACAGTAAATTATAAGCTCTTACACCTGAATGAGTCAAAGGGATGGTGCACAATAGGTACTTTGAATGAATCCAGACTGGCTGACAATTTCATTTTGGACCTGATTTATCAACCAAACTGGTAATTGCAGTGTTAAAAAACCAACCTATACAGTAAGCATTATTCAAACTACGTTGTCAAATTTACACCAAAAGACTTTCGGCGGCACCAAATAACATTATTAAATAATATAACTATTTACATATACCTAACATAATTAAAATAAAACTGACTAAGTGATACATACCTGTTACAGGTGAAATATTATAACGTGAARATTTGCCTGGATTTTATTTGAACTGTTTAGATTAGTTTAATTTACGCTAAACAGTACCTGTTACTTTTAACATAACTAATCAAACACATGCAGTAGATCATTCACAATCTCGGTATGGCATCTATAATAAGTTGGACGAGTTACGCTCAGACGACTCACAACTCACACTTAGMCCACATCAAACAATTCACAATAGAGAAAATTCACCCGATAAATGAAGAGCAAACACAGAAGAATATTATAAAATAAATGTGCAAAATAACTAATAGGTAGACGGGAATTTGAAAATGATTGTTTTCTTAACAAAAATAGCCAGGCTGTTACTTTCAACAAAAAATCATTTCCCTAAATGATAGGTATCACTGTTGACAATTTGAAATATTTACAAAACTAACAAAACTAATTACATTTTAATTTTTAATGAAGGATGGTGTAGGTATACAGTATGCATTTACATTCTTTAGTTTTATAATTGTTTCGATAATTTAGCTGCTTATTGTTTAAGACTCAATAAGTATTGTTATTTGTTATTAGCTGATTAGCTGTGGCATGGAATAAACACAACTTATGGGCGGGGGCTTAACCACTTGGACCCTCCCCCATGATGTCTGTAACAGTGTAACGACTAACGACTGCAACGTCTGTAACAAACTAACAAACATCGTTCGTGATTATCACACGACATTCCCATATTGATATATTTTTAAAATATTATTTGTAAAACGAATTTTTTTCAATCAACGTTAGATCTTCTAAGCCGATTCTAAAATCTAATCAACTACTACTAAACGTAACTGCTATAAGCTAAAATTGTGTTGTGGGACGTAGGTATCTAATGACATTTTATATTAGTCGTTCAAAATTCTAAGGTTGATCAATTCTATTACCATTCCTGAACACCCTGAGACCCTGAACCACACGTTAAATGACAAATTTGGGGCATTCATATCGTCGAAGCACAATGCACAACGAAATCATTGTGCTGTTATTTAATACTATTATTACATTTAAAGAGAATTCAGTRATACAACTACCGGAGTGATGGTTAATTTCAAACGTTGGGGCCAAAGCCTCCCGATATTTTCGTTGTTCATATCAAAACCAAATTKCATAGTTTTTATAATGCAAATTAATAATGTAATAAATACAATAATATAAGATTCTCAATATTTCGATATCTAGAGAAATTTCCTGAAATTATCGAGTATTTATATCTGGTAACGAATGTGAGATCAAGACAAATTGTGTTGATATTAGGTATTAGATACCGAATAATGATCGTGATGTCGGATATGGCTATATCCGATTACGTTTAGCTGCACGTTTTACAATTCGCAGTTTTTCGTTACCAAGAATTTATGGCTCATTGTTTGATAGGTACCTACTCGGATCAATTGTATTCAATAAAATATATTGTCAACAATTTCAATAATACGGTCTGGTTATAAGTACGTCTTATTGAACTCGAATTATTTTCTCTTTTATTACAACCACGAAGGCACGAACAAAAGATACGGATTCGAGGATCATGACCTTAGATCATATACTAGTAAACAGTGGCGAAACGAACCTAAAATAACCCATAAGCAAACTTACAATTTACACACCCACTCACCGACTGTAGGCTATAGGTATATATATATATATTTAAAGTATTTTTTTTTCAATGAACATTTACCTCCAAACCTTAATAAAAATCCAGAAGCAATCGCTTCTCAAAGACCACGGTCGTTTCGCCACTGCTAGTAAATGATCTAAGATCGTGATCATGCGTCATGTGATTATTAGTATTATTACAGATAACAAATGTAGCCCGAACCCCCGAACACCAGCAACTGCCGTAGTCTGCAGTTCTGCACTGTGAAACTAACTGTTAACTGTTGCAGTTGTAGGTACCCATCGACAAATCCCTTGTCAATTATTTGCCAGATCAACCGACAACCGGTCGAATACCTATAATATTTTCTAAAAACTACGATTAAATTTCACAGGAAAAACCATCAAATTGTCTTGGCGATGTGACTATGTGAGTTAATTTCACTTATTAATACTGCTTCACAGTTCACATATTCTGTATCGCAGATTCTACATGAAAGTATTCTACGATTTTACCCAATTATTTTCACTGGTGAAGTTATTTCGAGCGGAGGAGCCTTTTTTTATGTTAAATCACTACATGGAGGCCGTACTGTTTTCACATTGCCCTCATGCAGYATCGTTTATTTACAGAAAGATAAATATATACACATAGGAGTAGTAATAACCATAGGCGCCGACTCCGCGGGGGCAAAGGGGGCGATCGCCGCTGTACATTGATTTAACGGGGGCAAAAGTATTATTTCGCCCCCGTGCCCCGTTGTGTACAATAATAATTATTTGGTTAAAATACCAGATTATAACATGAAAATATTCATTAGAACATCGACGATTATATATTTGTATATTACCTAAATATGATCTATAAATACTATAGATCGCTCGAYGCTCACTACTATTTGGTTTTATGTTTTGTCTAAAAATACATCTGTCATTTCAATTTTTCCCGAAATATAGAGACGAAACTGATTTTATTACCATTATAGTATATAAWCTAAAAATTTTCAATTCAAATAATATTATTTATAAATTATAAACAAATATATTTATAGCACCCTAGAGGAGTATTAAAATAGAGTTAAGGGACAATTAGGTAATTACTCCTCCCGGTAAGCAAACTACAGCATACTATAGAATTTTTTTTTTCACTTAATAGAAGAGTTTGCCCCCGCGCTAATATCTAAAAGTCGGCGCCTCTGGACTAATAACAGTTTGGAGATACCCCTTCCTCAGCTCTCTGGTGTGTATGCGAATATCCCTATCCTGTTATGACTTTACAGATCTAGCAACTTTGAATAGGGATAAGCGGGGTTGGCCCGCTGTATCCCCATACAACTATTTATATACATATTATACAGGGTGTAACAGAAAGATATGACAGATTTGTGTAAGATTTACATGTAAATCTGTCATATCTTTCTGTTACACCCTRTATATCTCCGGTATTTTTCTTCTCGGGCCGGCCAAGTCCGCCACCCTAGACATCGCGTACCGTTGCCTCTTCGCGGACTGGCATAAGCCAGCCATCCTAGACATCTCGTGCTAAAAAAACTCTTCTCAAGCCGGCCTTGGCCCGCCGCTTTAGGGTGGTATCACACTACGACGGTTACGCCGCACGGCGAGAACCGTACGGCATTACCGTTCACCAAGAATGCATACTTATTAACGTGTAGTGTCACACTTATACGGTTACACCGTCGATGACCGTCCGACGAGCCTGGAAACCGTTGTGAGTCACGGTTTCACGGAGCTACCGCCACGCTGTCGGTAAATGTAAACACATTGTTTCATATCAGGGTTGTCACACTACAACGGCAACGACGTCCGGTAATGGACTTAAACATATTTTATCCATAGACTAGCCCTCCGTGCTAGCTGAGGGAGACCYCCAGACCACCCTGGGTCGGCGAAACGTGGRTACCAAAGGCGGAAACTGAGTCGTTGGAATTATTAAAGTCAAGGCTGTAGGTAGGTACTCGTTGGTCAAAAATCAAAAGTCGTGAGAGGTGATAAGGCTCGTACGGTGGTGGCTGGCTCGTACGGTGGTGGCAAGCTCGTACGGTGGTGGCACGAGCGGAGGAGCCTGGTTGTTGCCGTTTTACCATTTCAGTGGAAATAACAAGTCTATTTTTATAATATTTCGATAAAAATAATTTTGCATACAAGGAAATAATTTCCACAGTAATTAATTGGTTATTAATAACTTACTAATAGTTGGAAATGTTTGAATATATTTTTGTCCTGGGACGTCCGATATGCTACGTGCTTGGAAGTTGGCGAAATAGCAAGTGTGTTGACTGATGTGTGAACAAAAATGACATAATATTGTAATAATTTATGATTGTATAAATATACAACGACTATATTACTATAATAATATCAGAAAATAGTTTTATTTCTAAATTATAAAGATAAAACACAAATTGCGTAATTATAAAATATTTATTAACTACAACATTACTTCCTCTGCATTTATTGTAGGAATGTAGGATACTAATAAATTAGTAAAACTTCACAGCGCATAGGATATATAAAATTTTTAAAATTGTTCTTTTTTTCCTGGATTCAATATAAACATTTCATACATAATAGGTATAATTATTATTTTATTACAAATTACAATAAGTTTTCTTCTAATATTTAATAAAACCTTTAACCTGTTAATATAAGTAATTAAATGACACATATAATTATGAAAAGCAACGCTTTCAAAAATATGCATAACTTCGACAAAAAAAAGAATGTGAAAAGAATTAATTTAAATTTAAATTTTTAGAGATTCTAGTTTGACTAAATTATTCTTTGCTACAAATTCATTATAATTTACTCTATTTTTAAGTGAATGGACTTCAGTAGTCATTGTCCGAGTTTTTTTTTTTATCATTAATAGTGTAAAACAGAACTGACAAAAAWAAGTGGATGAAAACTACCCTGAAAACCTTAAAACTGAATTTATACCAAGACTATCACTTATCACCAATAACTATTTATAATTCCAAAACAAATTTATTATTGAAGGATTTTCCTGGAATTTTTATCTGTATGCCAATTTTTTCTAATTAATTTAAATCTTCAACTTAAAAAATGTCTTATAATTATCTATACCTACTGGTTACTTATAACACTTCTCTGGTATCAAAAAAATCAGGAATATCGAGTTTTAACTGTATACCATGAATTCATGAATTAAGTAGCTATATATAAAGAATAGCAAATATCTGTATACTTTAAGAATTAATTAAAGAGGGATACATCTTTAGTTTCTTTGATGTACCTATTCATATCTATGGATTTTAGTTATATTCTGTTGCATTCTTTCTGAGAAATTTAATTTCTGTTATATTGATTATTGAACAAAAAAAAATGTGAAGGGAATTCTTTAATGTATTATTTAATTCAATTTTTAATAAATGCATAAGTAGATAGTATATTATTAGGTACATTATCTGTAATCTGATCTTATAAATTATTAGAAAAATATGAGTAAGTATTATTTGTTAAGCTATTTGTATATATTAATTCTTAATATATTTTGTCAATGTATGCTTAAATTTGTTTTTAATATGTTTAGAAAATAAATCTAAATAGTTAAAAAGATGGAGGCAACGAGGAATACCACATTTGTAGATACCCACTTGTTATTTGTAAAGTTGTAAATATTAGAGATAACAACCTCGATGATATAATCTCAAATGAGATATATAAAGGATATAAAATTGGAAATTTATTTTTACAAATAAAACAGTTTAAATACGTAGTAATTTAAATGTTTAAAATGAGAAATGAGTTGTTCAGGTGATTGGTTTTTAGTATCAGTAGTAGGTACCTATATTATGTCATTCATATATTTTTTTTTAAATCACACATTGCAAAAGGTATTAAAAAGTTAAAAGTATGAACAATTTTGAAACACATTGTAGCTTGTAGCCGTCTACAATCTACTATTTTTATAGTATAAGAAAATGTGTGGAAAGTATTAAAATAATAAACAAACACCTTTTTTTGTCTCAACACCAGTTATACTTCCAGCACAAATACCTACTTAATATTGTTTAATTTTATAACAGTTATCAATTTCAACTTGAATTTACACATGAAGATCATTCAAAGATGAAATTAAAATCAAATCTGGTTATCATCAATTTATGTCTAAATAATCCTTTTTYATTAGTGAAATTATCGTCTAGGTTTCACGTTTTAKAAATTGGAACCAACAATGAGTTTATCAATTAAATTGATACCGGTTACCATAATATCAAAATTAAACGAGTTACCGGTTACCGGTTTTAAAAAATTGTCGGCTCCTACCGGAGCCGGATATCAACTTTATTAGGAACGGTTTTAAGCCCTGATATAATTAATTGTTTATGGCACATACAAAATTTGTTGCACGGCGAATTATATAGGCAAAAATGGTACATTACCTATAACTACATTTTAGCTTATCGYAAGTATTGTGTACTCCAGTCACAAGTTGCAACCAGTGGTGGCAACAGGAACGGGTCAGGTAGAACCATGGCCCTACCTRAAATTTGAAAATACCTGGCCCTATAACATTAGCCTAATATACACAATAATAATATTCTTATTTTTCATAAGCAGAAAATAACTTTGCTCGCTGTACAGTATGTATGTTATTTAGATCATACTTCTACGTATATTGTATTATATGATGATTGATTTTTGTGAGGGAAAAATTTTTGGAAGCGCTGCAAATGTACCTATAACAGTAGTTAAAATAATGCTTTGATTTTTAAATTGAATATCTCTTAAGGTGAGAAAGCGAATCTAGTTATTTTTGGAAGGTAACAATTTAAAATTCCCATCATTAGTAAAAAAAAAGGCATTACCGCGGAAAGTCGAATTAAATTTTTAGTACTTTTTGGAGTTAAAATTATCACAACATTGAATATTTATTCGATGTCTCTTGATTTTTGATTGTCTCGATTTTCTTATTTTATTGTTAATCAAAAATGAAATCGTAGATACATGAAAAGTGATCACATTTTTATTTCATTATTTTCTGAATGTACTTGATAAAATGTTCAAAATATTTTTAATCGTTTTGAGCTGTTTATGGGGATGATGAGTATACAATTTATTCAGTTTTTTTTTTTTAATAATTGTCAATAAAATAGTATTCATTGGGTCAATGAGCTTGGAAATTTAATACAATAAGGCTCTTGATTTATAGCAATAGAAAMATATTGAAAATACAGCTGCATGATTTGTTTTCATAAACATTTAAAGTACAAATGTTGATAAAATGTATAAGATATAAAATGTACAAATTATTTAGTAGTTAAAAATGTATTAAATGTTTAAGTGTCGGGCTAAAGATTGAAAATATAAAACAATGTTCCATTGACAGTTTATGCTGCAATTGATTGTGTAACCAAAAAAATCTAAAAATATGTTTTATACAGTTTTTTTGTACATTAATTTAAAGTTCAAATTTGTACCTAATTACATAATTAAATAATTAAAAATAACGATTGTTTTATATTTTTGTAATTTAATAATTTTATTCGTGGGTACTTGAAACTTTTAAAATGTTATATTGTTAACAAATATAACAATATGCAAATAATATTAGTTCAATCAACAAGCTACTATAATAATAATAACAATATAATATAATTTAATAAATAAAATACGAATGCCCTAAGCAGACAAACTGTCTCCTCAATGGCTCAATGGYCATAGACGCCGAGGCTTATTTATAAATTTATTAAAATGTAAAAAAAAACCGTCTCCGATCAGTATCGTTTTTCGTATACAAAAATATTTTATTTTAAAATTCTAATTTAACATCGTTATCACTTGTAACATACCACTGTACAAAACAGCGTCACCCACTTATATTCTGCTTTGTTTATTTATATTATTCAAAATTAAATATATTTTTTATACATTTTGCAGCTATTATAGACCTCTGAATAGTCTGAATAATCGTTTAGTGATGAATTTTTTAGATAGGTATTCATTATTTAATGGAATTAAAAAGTAGAATAGACTGTATCTAGTTTTCATCTTTTACTGCGACAATATTTTATATTTTAATATATTTTTTAATGTTTAATATGCATTCTGCTACCGAGCGCCATGTCACATGACCCGGGAAAAATGTCTCGAGGAAAAAAATTTATAAAACTTGGAATATTTTAAATAAAATGTTGTCTCCACTCTYCAAGCTCAAAATATTGAGTGACAGTGATAACAATTTCGACAATGGTTAAATAATATATGATATTATTTTTTTTAATAATGATTTATTTAAGTGATAACATATGCCATACTTTCCTAGAGACCGTGTTCAAGGTTCATTCRATTTTGTCAATATATGCACTATGCGGACGACTGGAYGTATGGGCATGACGTCTTATCYATTCATTTATTATCTATGAGCTATATAATACCACAGGCTTTTATAATAAAGTATAGAAGTAAGTATAGAAGTCTGTGTATAATACCCACAGATATAAATAATATCTGTGATAATACCACAGAACAAAAATAATACGTATTCTGTGATAATAATATTATGTTTATCCATAGACCTTAGTATAACTAGTATATTAAGCTGTTCTATGGTATAAGGTATATGTGTTTATCATTGTTTTGTGTTATCTATAAAATATCTCTCAAGTCCGCGATCAACGAACTACACCCAAATTGTGGGGAATTTTGGTTCAACGTTCAACCTCATATCTACAATTCTGATTATTAGCACAGAATTATAGAATAGAAAAAAAAATAATAAATATTGTTTATTATAAGATAATAGATCCACGGTTACAGAAGTACAGACTATATCGTGCAAAACTGCAAAGTACGATAGAAGTTGACTGTTGAGTCGTTGACCTATTCAGTATTCTGTATTTAATATTTGTACGATCCTTAATTTTAAAACTTCAGCCGCTTTTCAATCGAAATGTATTCTAATCATTCATCTGATCCCAGAAGACCGGACAAAGAACACAGGTAAATTAATCACTTGAATATTTTTAATGATGAACCGTGTCAGCGTGTCACGTTAATTGTATTCTGTTGCAAAAAAAAACTTATGTACTTATTATTCAAATCTTTAAAGTTTGTAAGTTAAGGCTTTTAGGGTGACTAAATCAGTAATGTATATTATTCTATGACTGTCACAATTCTTAAAAATATCAAATTATTTATTTCTCAGCTTTTATTTTCTTTAATCCAACTATTTATACCAGAGGYCACATGTGCCCCTCATATTTTTTTAAGTGGCCCACGAGTAAAATTTATAATGCTTATTAAAATCAAAAACTATAATAATATGGTTCCATATCCCTGCAGATTAAATTGTTAAACATTAAAAATTATTGTTTGTTTGTATCTTATTAAATTCATAAATATAATAGTTATGAACTTAAATAAACTAAATTGTATATGATAATACATATTTGTTTCAAATAAAATAAGAYACATTCAAATTGTGGCCCTTGAAAAATGTATATATATTTTTTGGCCTTGGCATCAAAAATGTTACTGACCCCTGATTTGCACAACTAAACAATGACAAAGCTGTTTTCGGAATATAGGTAACCTATAAAATGTTATTTACAATCCAGTTGCAAGACAAGTAATAGTAGCCTTTTAACTATGGAAAATTTTGAAGTCCTGATGAGAGTTTTCAAGACACTAGAAACAACTTTTGAAACCCGATAAGTCTGGATAATCTATTTGGTTCCAAGTTAATAATTAAAAATATTTGTGCAATAATCAGTCCTAGGGTTTRCTGTCATGTTCTACAATATACCTTGTCATTCTTGCGCGAAGATATATATAGCTGTTTTTCCTTTTTTCAATAATCAATTCATGGGGTTAAACTGTTAGCACATGACATGTAGCATCAAAATCATTGAAACCTAATTTATAGAGCATGGACTATAAAATTGAAGCCAGGTGTACTTACCGATTAGCATAAATCATTTCCAAAATGTTGGTATGAACCAGATGATTGATGACAACCAATTGCCCAAAAATATTTAACTTGAGCCAAAGAAATGTGAAGTTAATTCATTTTATACAATATTTAAATAATGATTGCAGGTTCAAACCAAAAACAGTCAATACTGATAATCAAGCTCTAACACCCGGTGAAGACTTGACGTCTGACTATATGAATATTTTGGGTATGATTTTAAGTATGTGTGGATTACTAATGAAGGTAAAATTAATTTAGAATGAAGTTATCATTGTTTTAAATCTTTATATTTCAACGACTTTTAAACATTTTTTTTTTGTTAGTTCAAATGGGCAGCGTGGTGTGCTATGTTTTGTTCATGTATAAGCTTTGCAAATTCTAAAGCATCTGATGACAACAAACAAATCTTTAGCAGTTTCATGTAAGTATTTATACTTCTAGTCGCCTCATTCTGAATTTAAACTCCATTGTAAAATGTATTATCCGACACATCATCATTAAAGGCATGAATATTTCTTACCTGCGAAGCAACTACTTTAAATAAGTACCTACCCAAAATTTTTTTAGCACATTACTAACTAGTATAGCAGTTTAGGTCCTGGAGACTGGAGTAATTGGGATAACTTTTCCTTGAGGAGGTGGCCTCATAAAATAACTATTCATGCTACCACTGATCGTTATAACATGTTTGTATAGAACTGTGGTACTAAACTAGAATGTCACATATTACTGTGGTGTGTATTGTCAAAATATTAATTTAATCAATATGCTTTTAAAGTATAAAATTATTTTATCACGGTATTATGATGAAACAGTTAACACCACAGATAAGGAAAACAAATATGAAGATTCTAAAATATGTTGGCTTTCAAGAGCTAAAAAATTTAATTGTGTATTAAAACTTGAATTACATTTTTTTTTTAAAACTGAAAACTAAATAATTATGTTAATTAAATTGATAGTGAAATGTGGTGATCTGAATTAGCATAAATCGCTGACTTTTTTCAAAAACTAAATGTTTTAAATTTGAGTACCTATGAAGGTTCATTAAAACAAGTTGGTCAGCATTTCGATAGTGGATCTTTGTCTATCGTCTCTTCAGTCCTCGGACAGGATAGGCAATTTTACTGTATTCAATTTGAATGCAATAAATGCATCCGATAAAAAAAACAATTCTGAGCGGATGAGGGAATCTTTTTAATTTAATGTTATTCGTTTCTATGGTGATAGACAAAACGTTATAACAGCTTAAGAATGATGGATATAAATAGGTAATTTATATAATTATAATTTATAATTAGAAAATATCATAAAAATGAAAAAATCTCAAAAGTCGCTCAAATGTTTTGAAAATTTTACCATGTCTAGCTAAGGCTAATATAATTAAACAAACCAAATTTCAAGTTTTTACAAATGTTTTTAACCGAATTACAACAAAAAACTCCCAAAATTAAAATGTCTATAAATACCTCAAAAATGGCTCAAATTTTCTGAACTTTAAACCGTAAGGTACAAAATCCAAAATACAAAAAAAGATCTCTTTTCATTTTTCATTTGAAGTAATATTTCTAGTAGAAAACGTCCATTGTTATTTAATATTAAAAAATTGAAGTTTAGATGGAGAAAGTGTTTACAAAATAAAAAAGAAAAAGAAATACACATAATGATATTGTAAAACCAATACATTCCTTGCTCCACTCAGAATCTAAAATTATAATTCCTACAACTGATAAAATGAAATGTTTAAAAAATAGATTTATGGTTATCAGCTACAAAAAATGATGATTTTTCATTTCTTTTATTTTTCAAAAATCAATTGTATTGTATAACCATTTATATGGATCTAAATTAGGGTCTCATAAAAAATGTTGAGAACCACTGGTATAGATAGTTAATAAACTATAATTTCATGGGAATAATATATAAAATGTAATTAACTTATCGAGTCATTGCATTTATCATTTACATAGGTATTAATTATCTTATATCTATATKTATATTTAAATGGATTTTTTTTTTAGTAATTAAGTCGCATAAACTACCGAACCAACAAAAGTTATATCAATAGATCCTTTGAGATATGTTGGGTGTTTATAGTATATTTTTTTTAAACAATATTGATTTTAGTTAACTCTAGCAATAGAAAATTGATATGATTWTGACTTTTGTTAGATTGATCAAGGAAGTGAAGTGTGGGCCTAAGCCTCACACAGCTCACCTTCTATTCTATTGCAACATTAAACCCACTAAAAAAAAATATAGTTTTTTCATTTTAGTTATTAATTTAGAAAATAGTAATAGGTTCATTAAATTTTTACAGGCTTTCCATGTCAGCAATTGTTATGTCTTATTTACAAAATGCACATCCAATGTCACCACCGTGGTCTACAGCATTTGGATAAGAATTCTGAATTTGGATTTTACAAACAAAAATAAAAATATGATTTKTATTTATTAGGGTTTACTAATAATATATTGATTGTTTTTTCAAAACTATAAAAATAAAAATAATTTGCATTGTTAATATATTTAAATAAGACTCTAATCCAGACAACTTAATATTTGTATACAACTTGAAGATTATCGCATAATAATTGTAAAAAAAAAAAAATTCTCAATAATTATATCCAATTAGTAATTACATATTGTTTCAGCCTCATGATTTATCATTCAAGTTAACTAATTTATAACTATTTAAAGCAATCTCCCTCTACAGTAAGCAGACTCGCAATGACATTTCATATTTTTTCCTGGAACACTTCCTATATCATAGCTATAATCCCAAGTTAATTCAGTCCCAGCCTGTATATAATGAAGAGCAAAAAATGATACCCAAGGAAATCGCAAATCATGTGTATCCACAAATACATTTTGAACAAATGTATTAGGAGAACATGAATGATTTAAATAACGTCCAATGTTGCCACTAGTTTTGGCATCCATGATATATACGCTCTCATTGTCTCCAAAGTATTCACGCATTGATTTTGGTGGTGGTTCAGGGTTGTTTTTCATATTATTTGCATCTAATTTGGATAAATTTTGTACATGTTTATCATCATTTTTAATTTTAATTTTTTCACGTTTGCGTAACCTTAATGTCATTTCAGATCCTCTACCTAAGTAATAAAAACATTTATATATATATATATATTATATGTATTATATCAATCATTAATTAATAATAAAAAAAATTACCATCAGATGTACTAGGATATGGTTCATCAGACGATTCGGATTGATATGCCTCAATTTCATTTTCATGGTCACTGAAAGATACATCACTCTCATAGTCTTCTTTTATTTTTTCAACAACTTCAATATAATCTAATTCTGCCAAATATTCATCGCCATAATTTTTCCCACCTTCATTAGCATCAGTTTCAGTCAACAAATAACCAACATAAATACATATGAAACTTCCCTGAGGTATATCATTCAAACATCGTACACCCCATCCTTTTTTCTCAGTCATAAATAATTGTAACTTTTGTGACAATGGGTTCTGTACTACACGATTTAAACATGAACTKGAGCATTTACATGTTTTATTGCATTCATATATACCTGTTAAAACACGTTCGGGCAGTCTTCGATAATTGTAACCAATGTTTGGATCTTTGTAAAGATTAGGTAAAATCTTCTGTCCTTCTATAGTCATCTGCCAACAAGCACATTTCGATTTATCTTGACAGTTGTCAGTACAGTCACATCCACATAAGAATTCACTCTCTACATTTATGTTAACACCTGGCATTGGTTGTCTAGTAGTCATGTATTCCATTTTTGGTGGTAATGTACTGTTAATAGTATTCACACATGGTATTCCCCTAAATTCTTTGCCTTCAGATATATCATTTAAAAATTGCACACTTTTCATAACTTTATATTCTGCAAACGGTTTGACCCAACTATTAAAATCAAATTGATCAATAGTCATTGTGCTTTTGGTAACAACAAGATATTCCAGCATCTGTTTCATATTTCGAATAGTTACACCACAAGGGGTTTTGTATAGAATACATTTTTGAGTATTATTAAATAATGCTAAATACCTGACGAAACCAAAATATAATGGAATAGTCAACATACTGATTTTCCTAGTTCTCGCATAGCTATAAAATGTCCATGCAATACATTTAGGGTTACATTTGTGTTTTCTATATTTAATTGGATTAGGAACAGATTTAGGCAATATTAGGTCRATAACCTTAGTAACGGCCTTATTTTTATTACATTTTTGAGTTCCCTCACCATTGGTTGAATTTTTACTGGTACTTTTACGTGCTACGCCTTTAGCTAAAAGGCGAGAGGGCTCTTCTTCTACACTTGTGAATTCCACAAATGGTTTTTTTAAATAAGCTAGTCCAGATTGTCTTAACCGAATGCCTTTTTCAGATTTGCTCTGTTTTTCAAAAATATTATACAAACGTGAAGAACCACGATATATCCATTCACTATGTCTAAAATCGTAAAAATATAATTTGACCAAAGATGCATCAACTTCAACCACTTTCGCCGTATACCACTGGTTTTGGAATTCTGCTCGTACTAAATGTTGATCAGTCAACTTAACCATTTGACGCTCAGGATACTTTTMTAAATAATTCTTTATAAATTCACGGCAATTTAAGTCTACATCTTCCCATACATCGCATGGATTTATTTCACGTACAATTAAACGAATATCATTGTGTTTTCGATATTGAACATAACCAACATCAAAAAAAATCAAATATCTAAAAAACAAATAATAATGAATTTAAAAAAGATATTGCTACTTTGCTATTAAATTATTAATCTTACCGAAAATTATTAACTATTTTTGGAGGTTCCGCTATTATACCAGCATAAAAATCATCGACACGTTTAGAATTAAGATCAGTAAACTTAGCTATTACTCTGCAACCCACAGGAAATCTGACTGAACTCAGTGAAGTGTATGCAATTTGTTTTGTTGTCAATAACTTTTCACCAGTTTGAAAAGTGACATGTACATAATCTTCATCAACTACAGTTTTGACTTTACTTCTATACCATGGATCTTTTATACTTAACTTCATTGCATATACAGCTTGTCCACTCACAATATTAGTATAAACTAAATCTCCTTCTTTAGGTAAACTATTTGGTGTAACACAAACCGTTGAATTCATAGTGATAACATCTTCCTTATTAAATTTGTCTAGCTTAATCCTTTTGGCTTCTTTAGGCATCTTGTTTTCCTGCATAAGCTCGATGATTTCTTCTCGAGACATCATGACTTCTTGTTTCTTATCTATATTCTCCTCCAACTTATTGATGTCCACAGTTTCTAAATCTGTTATAATTGGTTGATATGGGTCATATATTTCTTTTCTTAATGATGCCATTTGATTTTCTAAATCAGAAGCAAGTTTATCTATTTCATCCGCATCAATCAAACATTGGTTTATTCCTTGATCAATATATTTGTTGCATAGTTTAACTTGATGCTCAAAGAAACATTGGTTTTTATTAAAAAAAAAAGTGACTGCACTCTTGATAGCATTTTGAACATCTTGGTCAGGAAATGAACTCATCTTAGAAGTACTAGGTTTTGGTTCTAAATCTTCTTCTTCTTCTTCTTCTTCTTCTTCTCCTTCGCTTGACGATGAATCATCAATAACTACGTATGAATCAAAACTTGGGAAACTGGTATCCATAATACATTTTCCATCTTTCCATTTCTTTTCGAGATGCTTATAATGTTTAAGACATTCAGTAAAACAGGTCATGCAAACCTAAATAAACCACCATTATGTAAATTAAACTAATTATATGTAACTTTTAATTTTATACCAACAATATCAATTACCTCTTTGCCAGGTTTGTAATCAACACCATAGTGAATGCATACAAATTTCATCGCATTGATCAGAGTATTTCCATAAGTACAACGCCTATTTATACATCTGAGTTGACGCCTCTGTTCCTCCAATGTTTCACTGTTGACCTGATATGGTTCCAACTGTTTACTCGATGAGGCCATATTTGTTTTCTAGTTAAGAAAATACAAGTCATGAATAAATAAATRAAGCATAATATGTGTTAAGTTCTTATGGTATACCCTCTACAAAGATGGARCAACACAAATTGTGTCACAAATCAACCCTTGGGGTTTTTAGATACCCAAAGAGTAAATACATACCTAAATAGATTATTTACAGGACCATTAGTTGGAGTTAACTTGAAACCGACCCTACAAAGATGCGTGTATCAAACACTTCTTTTTTTTCGTCACTGGTTATCATTGAAACTAAAAAGTAACTACAATATTTTTCGAGTATAAGCTAGAAATGTATTCAGTGGTTCATTACATTATTATTTATCTACTGTTCGTTCGTACTGTCATAGAATAATAATAATACCAAGAAACCTGGACATTAAATTGTAAAAAATTACTAGGTGTATTATAAAATTATAGTATTGTTACTAATATTTAATTGTTGACATTTGATAATCGATATCACTAACGTGGTATCTATTTAGTATCTGTACCATGGTATATATCTGGTCTATACCTTTAGGTAATATGAATATGGGAGTACGGTTACCAAAAAATAAAATTTAAGTGTTAACAGAAAAATAAAAATTACAAGAGAAAACAAAATGACTATTTTTTTTTTTATAGAAATAAAAATAAACGTTATAATCACGTTATAATATTAGTCCGTGGTTATAATAATTAATAATGTTATCATAATATAGAAAATAAAAATAACATCAAATTAAATATGTATAATATTAATATATAAACATAATTTTGATTCTAAAAGCTTGAAAGCCTGAAATTATAATCACAGAACACGTAGCTTACAATTTAAGTCGTGTTTAAAATTATAAGTTTTACAGGAATTAATAATGTATAGCACTAGAGTGTAATTTTCAAGTAAATGAGTAAGATATGTCGAGTTATAATCTGAAAAAAATGAAAAATACAAATAAAATAAAGTGGGTCATTAAGATTGTCTATAGCAGTGCTATTCATGTGCCATTTAAAGTTATGGCCTCAAATTTCACTAAATTAGACTGATATACAAATTTATTTTTATGTCTATCATCAATTTTTTCTGTGAAGTATCTACTCAAGTTTAATATTTAGTTTCTGTTCAAAATATTAATTTCAAATTAAAAAAATGTGGACGATTTTATGATTTTGTTAACTATTTGGAACATTAATAAACATTTGGATCGCATTGATATTGGATGAATACCAAGAAAATATCTTTGTAGCATGCAAGATCCACTTGGAAAATATGGTGACCAATTTTTAAAACGCTATAGATTCTTTAAAATGATTTTTTTAGACAAATTATCAGTATTAAAAATTCATTCCAACAATAATCGTGGATTGCCTTTAAGCCTTCCCTTCATTCAATAGTTATTAGCATCAGCGGTTTTATGCAACGTCAAACTTTCAAGTAAAGTGTTATCAATTGATGGATAAAATTAAAAATATGCTTATTGTTTGTGGAGACTTAAAAGGAATAATTAGAGCACTATATCCAGAATTATTTATAGTTTGGATCAGATTGCCAGTTATTTAGGAGATTCCATTAAGTTTCCTCAAACTGAAGCTGTATGAAGTTATTCGACAAAATGTGTATGATATAGCTGGAATACCAGGTTTTTGGTGGTTGTATTGACTGCATTCATTTAAAAATCCAAAATTAGGTGATCTAAATAGAAAAGTACTTCAAAATTGTTATAGGATAGTTTACTTTTAACTTTCAAGTAATTAACATTAAAACAATAATAACTTATTATTATCTAGTTAGTTTGTGATCCACTGATAAAAATTATGGATTTGACGGTTAGAATGCTAAGTAGTTGCTTATTTGTATATTATGTATTACATTTAAATTCAATGATTTAAATATGAATATAAATCAATGATTCTGAGTGAAGACGTCAGCCTACTGGCATTATATACATTTTACACATAACGGAAAATACTAAAGCTAACTATCCATCACATAAAATTAAAACCTACATAATATATATAATTTTTTTATTATAAAATTAATATTGATATTGTTTTAAATTATCAATTAACCTAGGTATCAAATGTCAACATAACTTTCAATGATAAATATCTTACGCATATATTGAATATTGTTTTCCCAATTACCTTATTGATTATTATACAAACATCAATACAGCATACATTTTATCACCTTTGTGCTAACTTTTCAGTAAAATATACCTATTACTAAATTATTACACTGAATTAAAATCAACATATAGCTTATTCAATTATGATAGTTAAGTATGAAAATATGTACATGACATATGCATTGGCGCCACTAGGATGGCTCACCCCTGGCTATGATTTATCCCCCCCTCCCCCTAAAAATATTCTCAATTGATTTTAAATAATACACGTAAAATTGTATTTTGTCACTTGGGAAAGAAATGAATCCATCCTTGGTGTTCATAGACTTTGCCAATAAATAGTGTGACTTGTGAAAGTGATTTTCTGCGACGAGGCGAGTCAAATTGTGGTTACGGTCTACTATGATACAAGAACGGTTTTAAAATGTATCTATTATTTATATTGAGAAAGATATATCAAACAATATTGACAGTGAACCCACTATAAAGTTGACTTGTTTTCTTTTTCCTTACTCTTATTTACATTGCTCACGATGGCCACATACTTAAAAAAAACAAATTGTTATAAATCTAATATTGTGTTCTTCTCTTGGTTCAGAATCTAAATTGTATGTAAGTGGCKTTGGGATGGACACCTTTGCGATATTAAAAGTTATTACCCTAGTTGTGTCACTGGGTATATACCTTGTTTAAAATTATTTAAAATTAACCACCCACAAAAGTCTGATCAATTGCCCCAAAAATAATATATGTTCATAGAGTCACAGCGGCAGCCTATATCACAGTATATCGATAATATATTAACATTGATGGTAAAGTAATTTATTATATTATTAATATTACTTATGCTTATGACTTATTATGTAGAACATTGAACTAATTTTGTTAAAAACATTGCATTGAGTATATTAATATTAATATTTTATGATGTAAAATAATAGCCAATAGGTAATTTTCTATAGGTTTATATTTATAATATTATTTTCATTAACTTTTGAGTCAATAMTGATTTACCAAAGAACAATGTAAAGGGCAATAATATAAAATTAATCTAAAGTATATTTTGAAAATGTTATTGGTTGTATAAAATATAATAATATACTTAAGCAGGCACAGTGCGAAGAGATAGGGAGACCATAACCCCTTCTAAAAATGGTCCAGAACAACCACTGAAAAATTTAACAGAATGTCACATCTTATGTGTTACCTACTTTGTCATAGTTTAAGAGTTAAACTATTAGTTTTATCTATATTATTATTGATTTTACAATTTCAACAAAATATACTTTGTGATTTGTAAAAAAATAATAAATATTTTATTCCTTTGTTATTGCATTTACTAGATACTATAAGTATTAATTATTGAATAGAAATAAAAATAAGTATCCCCAATTATTGCCTAAAATTCCAGTTAATTAAATTCAACTGTTTAGTACCTACTAGGAAAATTTGTACATTATTGTTAATGTATTCATTTTAAGTTTGAGTTCAAATATTTCCTTATTCACACGATGTGACATACTTGAAATTTTGTGACATCATCGTCTGGTAATTGTTCTCTTGACGATTCGCCATTTATGGGTGCGTCACGTATGTCTTGTTCAGATTTCAACTTTTGAGGCACGTCCAGTTGAATTTTTTTGAGCAGTTGTGAAGAAAACTGTCCCTTAATGAATTTAACAGCTATGACATCACGGGACTGACGACGAAGGCGCGGTAYGACAGAACGTTTAGGTATAACTCTTATTTTATTCCGTAGGGGTTTGTTTCTTCGTTTATATTTCTTGCTAGCAGTTTTGCGCCATTTTTTCTTTTTCGATTCGGCAAGTTTATCGAGATTTAATTTGTCACCTACCGTTTCAAAATCAGAAAGCATATTATGGTTTTGTTGTTTCTCGCAAGCAGCTTCGCCAAATTTCCGCATACGTTCTTCAAACATTACAGTTTCACGTGTAGATAAAAACATTGCATACCTTTCATCATCAGTCGTCGTCGAACAGCATGCATTGGCTCTCTTGAATTTCTCGAATTCTTCACATTCGGCTGATATGCGTATGCGTTCGCGAAATGCTTTCTGGCGTTCAAAAATCGAAGCCATAGTAACAAATTGCAAGTAACTTGATTTATAAAGAAGAGTTTTAATGTGACTATATTGTAGCACAAAGAAGATTCAACAAGTAAAATTTTATCATAGGTATGATAAAAAAATGTATCCGTGAAGTTGCTATGGTAACAAAAATATATTATGTATCCGGTTGCTCGGGGCAACCTAAATACAGTAACTCGAATGACGCAACAAAATTGTCCAGAAAAAATAAGTTTTACCAAGCACAAATCGTGCGGTTATAAATTCCACTAATTTATAGGTTGTTGTTTTTAGTTTTAGATTTATAACATGTAAATTCTACCAATATTTTTTTTACTCAAAAAACACTGTAACTACATAGATTACCGTGATAACCACAGTTAACAGAGTTACCTTTATCCTCACGCTGCGCTTCACATAACGTACCTATCTATGAATCCGGTTTAACTAGTTATTATTTATTATTATAGTATATTTTCTTAATTAATATAAAAAAAAGTATATGTATTTATAGATAATATTTATTTATACTGCTAAATTGATAAATTATTCAAATGCATATTTTACTTTCTATAATAATAATTTTGAATATCAAGCTACGACCCGACATGCAAAATGTTGTTTTCTTTTAAATTTAAAAAAAAAAAATAAAAAAAATTTCCAACTATTCTAAAGGGCGTGAAAGTTCTTCCTGTAAGAAATGTTTTTATAATTTATACCTACTGAAAAACATCGGTTCCKATGCCCTTTAGACGTGGATTAACATGATTGGTTGATTATTAGGTTCATAAAATAATTCTCTCCATGAAAATCATGGAAAAGAACACTAAAAACTTAAAATGGCGGYCACTTTAAATGAGGCACCATTAGTATTAGAACCTATATGCGGCCAAAAGTGATAAATTTAAGCAGATTGGTAATGTATCATTTACATATAATTTTTCTACATGACCCGTTTAAAGTTAAATTTTAGACAATCTTATTGAGTGTAGAAAATTAAAACTATTTAAATAACAGTGCATTGGTTTTCAAGTATTTTCAGATACTTTTATCTAAATATGCTCAAGAGAAATCAGATTTTAAAACATCGGATGAAACTGAATAGTTTCTAAAAATCAATTTGGGCCAAGTATCTGCACCATTAGAATTTCAACAGTTAATGAATCATCGTTAGGAGCATTG